TCATTTGTGCATAGTTTCTCACACCATAGATAAATATTGGAGGAATGTCTTTTTTTATTGGAATGTTAGGTGAATTGTCATTCTGATTCATAGATGATTCATTAGTATACAGGGCGCTAAATCTATTAGTTGTTTTGATATTATCATTAATTATATTGCCCGTTCGTCTTCTTTTAAAGCCGTGATGAACTTCCTGCCAGGGATTAGGGTTTGAGTCTAATGTATCAGTCAAGTCCGTAGCTGTTGTTGATGGAGTTGAGTCCATAGCTGTTATTGATGAAGTTGAGTCCATTGCCGATGTTGATTGAATTGCGTTCATAGACGAATTTGATTGAACTGTTAAGTCGATAATTGCTGGCGCATTGCAACTATTAATGTTGTTTAAATGATTTTGAACAAAAGCTGAATTCGTAGTTGATTCGTCACATAATATTTGATTGGTTTGAACCAATGGCGGAATTAAAGATTTGCTCCCTTCCGAAGGGAGCATTGTAAATAAAAACAAAGAAAAAACTTATAATAAATGTCTGCTATATCACTTAGTAGATAAACTTCACTTTAACCGAAAAATAAAAATCACTTTTTAGAAAAATAATACTTCACAGTATATAATGAACGATAGGTCTTCACTCGAGGAGAGCTCAACCGAGAGTGCCGTTGCCAAATAATCCATCTTTTAAGCGAAGTGTTTAAACCGAGATCGTCTGGCATTTGTACGTTCGTACCCATGTCTAAACAAATCCATTACATCTCACGCGTCACTGTTTCTTGTATTCTTGTATTCCCCAAAAGAAAAGTGGAGGCCTGAGATTCTGACACCGATCCATTTCTCAAGTGTTTCACTACTATAAACCTTAGAATTTCGTATTGTTCCCCACTATTCAGGACTACGATGGGCTATGAGCTAGGGCTGGGTACTTGTCATAATATCGAAACTAATGTAATGTTCTCGATATTGATTTTGCAATAGAGATAAAACTGGGTATGGTTGTACCAGGGTACGGTAGTGACAGTCGCCATAAAAGCTCAACTATACTGATTTTGAGATAGAGTCCAAAGGGAGAAAGATGTAGTAGGTTTGTTCGAACAAGTTTCCTGCATTGCTTTCAGTCAGTGCCTTACATTAACATTATCTGTAAACCGCATTTTTTATGTTTGAATTATTTTAATAATAACTGTTAATTAAATTAACATACAGATTAAAAATTAAGGTTGAAATACAGATATATTACTGTTTTCGTTATTTTACTGTAAGTTGAGCATTAGTAGTTATTTACTAGAATTAGTTTTTGCTTATAATTATTAGATGATTTAGCTCAGTCATAATGATTATTTATTTTCAAAAGTGTGCGTTGAGTACGGTTGTGACAAATTTTGGGGTACGAACATTTATGTGTTGTCCATTTCTGATGAAGATTAAACTGATAAAAAAATTTAATTTTACTAAGACAAAATAGGAAAGATAAAGGAAAAAAAATTCAATTTGATAAAAAAAAATCACAGAGCATTCTTGTTAACTTTGTTTAAAAATAATGTCTTGTTATTTATTGTTATTTTTAATTCATGAGCTTTGTTAAAACGTTTATGAAAAGAATAGTGCTTGTGAAGATTGGTTCTACGAATTTTAATATACTTAAATCAAAA